ACGACACAGGGTGCATGTGTCACGACACGGGGTGCATGTATCACGCACAGAGAGAGTCACGGTCGCTGCAGCCTGTCGTCCATCCACCGCCCTCACCCTCGCCCCATCCGACCCGCCCTCTCCCTCCGCCTCTGGCTCCCGCTGAATCGCCACCACCCACTCCCTCCCCCCTTCCTCGCCTCGCATCTCTCTCCTCCTTGCCCTCGCTTCCCCATCTCCCCCCTCTCCCAGATCCCAACCCTGGTGTCTCACGCTTTTCCTCCTCCCGACGGCCTCTCCTCCTCTTAATCCTCCTCCACCTCCCGTGCGTCCAAGCCTCCCCTCGCGCACGGCCAGTCGCGCCGTGACCTGCTCGAAGCACCTGTCGCCCCAAGCGAGGCCCTCGCCGCCCGTCGCCACGTGGCCCAGGTACTCGGGGAGAATCGCCGACGCGTCGCCCACACCGTGCGACGGCGACGGGCGACGCAGCTGCGACGAGTGCGAGGCGCGATCGAGAGGGTCGCGTATCGTCGCGTGCGACGGAGAATCAGGCCGCGCGGAAGGGGTTGCAGCGGCGCCATGGGTGGAATAGGCGAGCGTCGGGGGGGGGAAGGGAAGGAGCGAGGAAGAAACGAGGGATGCGATTGGGGATAGAATCGGGAAGTTACAGCCGAAGGAGGATGCGAACGACGAGAATTCGAGAGTCGACAGACCGCGGCTTGTGCAGGGCGGATCCGTGGAAAGTACTAGGACGACGAGGAGAAGAGCGACGGCAAAACATAAACAGACGGCTGCATTTCGAGCAGGTCGAGAAGGTGACTCCATGGGTAGCTAGCGGCGAGACGACCAGGGCGGCGAGAGGGAGGATGCTACGCTACTACTGTAAGAACAGGCTGACTGGTATGTTCATGCCCCGAGCGAGAGTGGCAAGAGATGCACAAAAAGCGCAGACGTGGGCGGGATGGGCGAAGCTGAACTAGGGTGTGCATTTGCGGTATAAGCGTATCCGGAAGCTGTAGGAGTGCAGGAGCGGTACAAATGAATATGCTCTAATAAAGATGGATATACGAGTGTAGTAGCACGAATTTGAAAGTGGGATGGGAACCTCAACAGGATTTGGGTTCGGGCAAAGTCAAGCTCCAACACAGGTCTGCTGATAAAAAACATTCTTTATGTAGGATTATACCCGGCTTAAATATATACAACCTCATTTGAAGATACCCCCTGTCTTCTATCGGATCGATGACCAAGTGAAGCCCACACCACGCTACATCGTGCAAAGACACATGGGTCACAGGTAGCAAGACATGTTGCTTTGGCAGTGCTATAGTAAATAATTCCCTCCACAAGGTTGCTTGCTGCCCAGTGCTACAAAACCCCTTCATCTGCATCTGTTCTAGAACCTGTGATCCCCGGCGCATGGCTAGAAACGTTAGCTGCAATTCCACCTTGGCCTGCTAGTGTTGATCCAAGAAGGCCAGATCCTCCTCCATGCTCCTCACAGGGCGCTGACTCTCCAGCAGCTCATCCACCCTTGCTGCAGCGCTCGCTCTCACATCCCCCCCTCCCACCTCCCCTCTCACCACCTCCAAGTCTTGGGCCACGCGGGACATGGAGGGGCGGGAGAAAGTGCGCATGGCCGTGCAGCTCACAGCCAGCTGGGCAAGGCGATTGATGATGTCATCTGGTGCTTCCATGCGGGGGTCCCGGAGTAGTGATGTCCTCCCACCTGCTATGAGACCCGATGCCTGTTTCAGTGTTGACAGAAAACACAAACAATGGGCCCAGTTAGCGGCAAAATGAATGGCGAGTGCAAGCATAACAATGGCAGTAGAGCCCAACAGGAAGAACAATAAGGAATGATTCAGCGATGGATATACTAAGTATTTTTTTCAGAGATGGATTATCACAAGAGAAAGCGAGGTGCACACCCAAACGGAAATGGAGACTGGTTCCTGGTCGCCCAAGTCACCTATCCCACTGCTCGGACTCTCGTTCACAGTGGCTCCTCTGCCTGACAGCATCACCAGCATCAGAGTGCCAAAGCTGAAGGGAAGGAAACCGGGTTGTGCAAAAGAAAGGGAGACTGTATGTTGCAAATCCATGCAAGGGGCAGCTTCAATTTGCCCCACACATGAAATGAGAAGCATGCTAGGTGGGTCAAACGTGACAGCACATTCCCGCCTGATTTATATTGTAGGTGTAATTTATTCTGTGCTGTTCATGTACGTATTTTCTGCTAATATATATTCACTCGAATAAGGGTTAACTTAAGAGATCAGAAACACGCTCGGCAATCACACACAATCTTAAACATGACATTTCTTCAAATATCTAACCTTGATACTGTAGACATACTTTCGTGGAAGAGCATATTAAGTCAATTGCCTTCTGCACACAAGTTTACAAACTATGAGATCCAAAAGGGTATGCTAGGTCTTCAATATATATACGCCCCTTGCACCAAATCTTACAAAGAATTTTCCAAGTTTAGGATGGGTAACCCTGTCGTACACTCCACAAGCGCGCGGTGCCTGTGGTAACCTTCATACCTTGCAGTTTGCCTTTGCCAATTGATTCAATCCAGCAGTGAGCAACTCTTTCCGTCCTTACTCATTCAGGCTTTGTTACATTCTGAAGTTCGTAGGTAAGCCACAATTATTTAGTGCTTATAGGTTGTCAGTGGGGGCATTATCACGCCTGTACATATACACATCAGAATGTCACCTGTACACACCCACATGGCACATGTACACACCACTATGGCCCCTACACAGGCCATGCGTCGTTTTACATCATGCCACCTATGCACAACAGCATCATACCTGCACACAACAGCATCACACCTGTACACATAAACATCACACCCTGTACACATTACCATCACACCTGTACACATGAGCATCACACCTATACACATCAGCGTCACACCTGTACACATCAGCATCACACATGTACACATCAGCATCACACCTGTACACGTCAGCATCACACCTGTACACGTCAGCATCATACCTGTACACGTCAGCAGAACACCTGTACACATCAACATCACACCCTGTAAACATTACCATCACACCTGTACACATCAGCATCACACCTATACACATCAGCATCACACCTGTACACATCAGCATCACACCTGTACACGTCAGCATCACATCTGTACATGTCAGCATCACACCTGTAAACATCAGTGGCGGTGATGGTCTTGTGTGTCCGGGAGTACACAGGGTCCACATACCCCACCGTTCCCAGCACTCGTGTGTAGCCCATTGGAGTGCTGTCCCCCTCACGCACCAGTCCAAAGTCACCCACCTTGGCCTGGGGAGGACGGGTAACAAAAATCAGGAGAGAGGCAATGCGGGGTTCATTCAGTTGCATCATGACTTTTGAGACGTCTCAAAAGGCATCAAGTGCGCAGAATCTGTTTTTCTTTAGAAATATCAAAGAACATATTCAGGTTGCATCATGTGCGCCGGGACTTGTTGGAATCGACCTTCCAACATCCTGCCGAAGTGATGCCAACAGCACACCGGTGTGAAAGAATGCCTGTATTAGGTGAAGTGGAAGAGGTTCAAAAGACTCCCTGCCAGGCCTTGAACAAGATGTTTCGTCAACCCATCATCACCGCACCTGCATGTGAGCATCAATGAGGATGTTGGCTGGCTTGATGTCCCGGTGCACGATGCCAAAGCTGTGGAGATACTCTAACCCACGTGCCACCCCTAGTAAGATGTTCACCCGCTGCAGTAGAGTCAGACTTGTGGGCGCATCTGGAATGGAGAATGGTAGAGGCGAGGCAAGGCGTCATTAAAGATGCTGACAATTGGAGAGAATCGGTCATACCACAATCCCCCGGATAAAGGCCTTCGTTTTCTTACATTGCCCTATAATGGGGAAGAACCCACACTGCCACGATGTATTCAATTGCGAAAATCACCACGAATTTGGTAGGGGCTTGAAATACAAAAATAATCTATTGCCCCTTCTGCTCATGTTAAGCCCCGGGGCGAAAATAAAGGAACACCCCTATCCGGCGGAATACTCGAATTTGTAATGTACACAAAGAGAAGCAGGTTTAGAAATGCTGAAAGGTTCTAGAAACAATAAGTAAATTGAAATGATGGAAACAAGCAAAACATGAGGTAATGTAGGTAGAGACTGAAGAGAAATAGCTTAGAGGCGATTAGGGCTGGTCTAGGTGAGGAAATTGGTACCCAAGGGACTTGGGGTGGCCAAATGGTTGCTCAAGTCGCCCACAATCAAGATGGGGACGTGAGGGACCCTCAAAGTGGGCCTGGAAAAAGCCCCTTCTAGTGGAACCGCGATTCTACAAATTGGAAACTCGAATTCCAATGATGGAAGTGCGTTCCCAAAGTTGGGAGACGTGCTGAGGTGCCCAAACCCAGATTTGGAGTGCCTAGCATTTTATAATATCACTTGGACAGCACCCTATGAGTAACTAATATAACCTTACCCCTGGTGTCAACACTGCTATAATGTAAACGGACACATAAAATTCATAAATAAACTATTGAAATAAACCTCCAGCATACCTGAAGGATATAAGTACCCAATAACATAATTTATCGCGTGGGACTAGGCACAAGCACAGGCCGAGGGACTAGACAAGCTTGGTTGGATCAATAGCCTTCTCAACTGTACCTTGCCCAATCCACCGCTGGAGGTCGCCATTGGCAATGAACTCATAAATGAGGACATTTTCCAGCCGCGTGTTCACATCACCACCCACTGCAAACCCCAGCAGCCGCACCAGATTGGGGTGGTGCTTCGTGGCCATTTGAGCCGCCTGTGGGCAGGCAAAGGAAGGAGGGGGAGGAGGGGGAGGGGGAGGAGGAGGAGGAGGAGGAGGAGGAGGAGGAGGAGGAGGAGGAGGAGGAGGAGGAGGAGGAGGAGGAGGAGGAGGTGGAGGAGGAGGAGGAGGAGGAGGAGGAGGAGGAGGAGGAGGAGGAGGAGGAGGAGGAGGAGGTGGTGAAGGAGGAGGAAGAGTGGGTTTGGTCATCCTTCCAGAATGGCTCTGATTCACAGCGCATTCTGAAGTTCCCCCACCAGCCCGTTTTTTTCAAAGCTGATGGGGGTTTTGGTGGGAATGCTCCCACTCTGACCACCGAACCTCATTTTGGCGGACGACAGATGTTGCCAGCATCGCATGTCCGGTATCCAATGAAATTGATGTGCCAGCTGGCATACCAAGTGTTGGGCTGACCTCGCCAGGCAAAACCCAAACGGCAGAGCCTGACGTTTGCGCCTGACGTTTGCGCCTGACGTAAAACTTTGGCACCGCAGTCAAATCAAGTCAACTTGGGTGATATTGGCTGATTCATGCAAGCAGTGCAGAAATGGGTTGAGAGGGCAGGAATGAAATATATGTTGCCGGGCTATGTGCACGAAACTGGCATGTCTAACACCGTAGTCCACACACCCTGCAAACGTGGCACGATCTCCATCGTCGCACACTGACGGACAGGCCAGGCATTGCGACTGTGGCCGGTTGGACTCAAGGTGTCGAGAAGTCGAACCGCGTGGGGGAACTTCTAAATGTGAATAAATGCCACGTCAACATTTCGAGTCGCGTGGGGGAACTTCAGAATGCGCCCTCAATCAGAATCGACATTCTTATGGACCCATAGAGTTGAGTAGTTCCCTATGTAAAGCTTATGACATAGCATTCGATCCTTGATCGCCACTGCCAAAACTCCACCCCACCCTGCAGCTTCGACCCAGCCCCAGCCCATCCCATCCCATCCCATCCCATCCCTCCCACCTCGCCCACCTCTCTGTGGAAGTCAGCAGTAATGACTTTGGCGCGCTTCACGGCCCACAGCGTGGTGCCATCCTCGGGGCACACCCCGCGGTACACGTCTCCATACGCGCCCGACCCAAGCAGGCACTCCTTGGACCAGTTGCCAGTCGCACGAGCCACCACAGCCAGCGAGTACTGCCGGCACGGCGTGGGTGCGTTCTGCAAGCCAGAGAGTGCAGCTGCATTGACGATGGTGAGTTTGGGTGAGGTGGGGGTGGGAGAAGGGGTGGAGGGAGAGCAAGGAAAAGGCATGGCGTTGAGTTGGACGAAACGATTGGATGAACGAGTATCACGAGGAGCACAAAGTAGATATTATAAGGTTGATGTACCCGTGTTTTTTTGCCTTCAGGACGAAAAGGGGATGGTGCTTGTGCTCGCCGTCATTTAATGGAAACTGGTGGCATGGCATGGCATGCAAGGATGATACCTCTGTTGGAGGCTCTGGTGCGTGCGGCAAACCACCAAGCAGAGGCGAGCACGAGCAGCAGCATCAGGACGGTTGCTGCCACAATGGCGATGATAGCTCCCACGGACAGGCCGGAGGGGGAGGAGGCGTCAGAGGGGGAGGGCGACGAGGGGGGCGAGGAGGATGGGGTTGGAGGGCTGCTGAGTCTTGTGGGTGGTAGGGGCAGTGGCGATGGAGGAGGAGAAGCCACGGTTCTTGGTGGGGGAGCTGAATAGGGCGGCACACATGCATGCACATGCATGCACATGCATCCACATGCATGCACATGCATCCACATGCATCCACATGCATCCACATGCATCCACATGCATCCACATGCATCCACATGCACATACACGCAGGAAGGACAGATTCAGGCATTTCGTGCAATGTGCACGATGCAAGTATCCATGCAGGCCCTAAGCTTGCATAAATACACACATATGGCATGAAATAACTAGCAAAGATTGGCTTTGATTGGCAAGGACTAGTACTCTGAGTGTAACAATCTCACCTGTGTGAGTTGTACATGTCGTACAGAAACTGTTGCACTGCTGGCAGAAGGCACTTGAATTGGACTGGCGAACCACACAGCTGGCAGCATCTGGGGGACATGTAAAGCCCGACATTGATATGTTGCTGCTTGAGGGGGCAGGTGGGGGTGGATGGAGGGAGTGGAATCACGGAGACAGAAGATTGTGAAGAGAAAACGAAACGAAAAAATGAGGGAAACAGTTACAAGGGCACGGGGAAGGCGGGTGCGATGGCCATACTTGTGCAGGCAGAGAGAGGACAGTGGGGTGAATGACACACGTTGGTGCAGAGGACAAAGTTGGCTAGAGGGAACGACTGACGACAACAACGGTAACACACAACCACAATTAAGGGTAAGTGGAGTGCAAGGGAACAACACATGGTACAAAGAGCAAAACACACATGGGCAGTGCTTACAGATAGGTGAGAGCTCTCAAGCTGGCAAGAGAAGCAGGTATGTGCCCCGTGAACTGGTTCTCACCGAAGCTCCTGCGATGCAATGAATGTGCAGTCATAATAGAACACCAGGAAGCAGTTTGGGTCGAATCAGAGCCATTGTGAAAGGATAGCCAAACCCACTGTTTTCCTCCTCTACCTGCTTGCCTTGGCTGCAGTAAAAAATCCAATTACCAAGATCAGCAAGTAGTGGCCCTAATTATATCTATGAATTCGTAAAAAAAATAGTGGATTTTATGTTGATTGAAACATTAAACTACTATGGTTCCACTCATCACTACCCAATAGCTTGACTCTGTCCCAGGCCTTCAGAGCTCCACTACCTCCTGCTCTGCACCTATTCTGTTGCTGTAGGGAGGATACTGCATGCCACCTACCGTCATCGCCCAGGTAGTAGACAGATATGTTTTATCTCATACTGCTAAAAAAACTGGCAGTTTATCTTGTAAACGGAAACGATTGTATCCCTTGCAAAAAGGGCACAAGTGTATTCGACGCACTTGCAATACATGAACACTCACAGCTCATTGATTTTGGACATCCCTAAGACCCAAGTCGGAAAGGATCCCTTCAGTCTGTTGTTGTTAAGACGCCTGAGGTGTAAATAGAGTCACCAGATTGAACATTCAACAGGACATCGCCTTATTTGACATCAGATTACTATGGCAATCGATGATGCAGAGAGAGGCAACATGAAAGTCAATGAACGTACACAAGAAAGAATACAACGAAGAGCCACCAATGATATGGTGCCTCCTATTTCTCTCTTTCTCCAATTCCTATCCCTCCGTTCCGTAAAGATGTCATACATGCCCCCCACATCACCATGCTCCTAAGGCGGCTGGTGCCTTGCATCTCACAAGAATATGAGGTCAGTGAGGCGAGAAAGGCTGTTGGGGATTTTGCCAATCAACCGGTTGTTTGCAAGGTCCCTTCGAATTCATGGCAAGCACGCAGGCACTGGCGACACAGCATGTCATGGAGCCACATGGAAGGGAACGAAATCGGACAAGCCGAGCAGGTCTAGCTGGCAAAGAGATCAAATATGTTCCAAACGCGGCATCCCAAATTGCAGCGTATAACGTATTTTCGCAATTGCGTAGTTTTCATGGTTACAGCCCATAATCGAATTACACAGGCCCGAAACGAATGCAAATAACTCATGTGACATGCCCTTACAATGAGTGCTGCCATTCGACCAACCGAACTCCCTTATTCTCTTGAACGCTCTCCTCCAACAGCCCAAACCCTCTCGACCAACAACACCTCCCGATTTGCCTATAGTCTAGGCCCAACGGGGTTTTTGGATTCTGCTGATATGCTCTTGCCTATTTTGGGCTTACTTGTTTTTTTTGGCTTACTTGTTTGCACAGACAAAGCAAGCAGTGGGCTGAGCGATCTCACAAGGAGGTGATGTACTTCATGTTGCCAATGCCCTCCGGGATGCTTCCCACAAGCTGGTTCTCCGGAAAGCCCCTGCAGTTTCGCCACCAAAGCCAATCCACCATCACACTATGTATGGATGGGTCCTTCCACAAGAAGAGTAGAGGAAATTTAGACAAGTTCATAACATACTTATTCTTAAAGAGCATCAGTATAGTGTGACAATCTGAAAATCACAGCTCACTGAGACAGAGTTTTGAGATGTCTCATAAGTCCATATATGGTGCGATAATCTGAATCTCACAGCTCGCTGAGCTTGGTAAGGCTGCCAATGGACTCGGGAATGGTGCCTGAGAGGCTGTTATACCACACAGAGCTGTGTGTTGCACAGGGAACAGGGTGCAATGGAGATAAGATGGGATGATAGGCATGCGCACATGTGATGGGCATGCGCACATGTGATGGGCATGTGCACATGTGATGGGCATGTGCACATGTGATGGGCATGTGCACATGTGATGGGCATGTGCACATGTGATGGGCATGTGCACATGTGATGGGCATGTGCACATGTGATGGGCATGTGCACATGTGATGGGCATGTGCACATGTGATGGGCATGTGCACATGTGATGGGCATGTGCACAAGTGATGGGCATGTGCACATGTGATGGGCATGTGCACATGTGATGGGCATGAGGCAGCAGGCTCAGGGTGTCAATGGAAGGTTGACAAGACATTGAGGGTTACAAGATTTTAAGGTTGATGGTGCTGCCGATGGACTCTGGTATGCTCCCAGTGATGCTGTTCTGAGCAATGTTTCTGCAACACAACACAGCACACACGCTCAGCGAGCTGTGAGAACCACAAAGAGGGTTCGTGATGTGTGCGCGTGTGACGGGTGTGTGCATGCGTATCTGTCTGCACTGCACGTGTATCAAAGAGCTACCCTCACAAGCGCAGCCTCCAGCACGACAGGCTCTCTTCCTCGGCCCGCTGAATCAGAGTGAACGCACAGGTGGGTGAGCTTGGTGCGACCAGATATCCAGGAGGGAAATGGGCCCTCTAAATCCATCATGAAGAGGTTTCTGCACACACCATACACACACACACAAGTGCATACTCACACACACAAGTGCATACTCACACACACAAGTGCATACTCACACGCGCGCACATGCAACCACGCACTCACACGCGCGCCCACACACACATGCATGACATATACGCTCGCGAGTGCGAGCACGCACGCACGCACGCACGCACCCACACATGCAACCAGGCACACACGCAAGCACCCACGCATGCACACACGCACGCACGCACGCACACACACACACACACACACACACACACACACATACACACACGCATGCACTCATACGTAAATGTACAAACATGTGTGCGCACACTAGAATTCACGCGAAAACACACAAATATATTCAAAAAACATATTGATGACAAACAGATATCGGTAAAGGTATGGTATTCCCTGGTGTGAAAAGCAGTGGCATGGTGAATGGGCTGTGCGGGGGAGAAGTGGGCCACCCACATGTATCTGAGGTTTGTGAGGCGCTCCATCTCCTGGGGAATGGACCCTGTGAGGTGGAAGTTGAGGCCCAGGCTCCTGCCATGGCATGGTATGACATCATCACAAGGCATGGCATGTGATGACACCACTACAAAGCATGGCATGGGATGACGCCATCGCATGTGATGATGCCATGGCATGGTGGTACGCAAGTGGAATAGATTCACAAAGGCACTACATTTTGAAGGATTGAGTGGCACCATGGTATGGCACAACAAGACGATATGGTTGAGCATAGAAAGGCCTAGAAAATGGATAACATGACACAGCGAGGGGTAAAGGATGGATGGAGCTTCCGAAATGGAACACAGGAAAGTGGGCAAGCAACGAGAGAATGGAAAATGAAAGGGTAGGGAACCGCAAACAGGGAGGAGCAATGCTTTGTACAATTCTTCCAAGCCAGTGAGCCGCGCAATTGCTCGTGGAATTTCCCCATCCAGATTGTTGGAATATAAGCGCCTGGTATGGTACAGTATATATAATTGGCATGCATACGTGATATAGCCTTGCCAGACAGTAAGATACGTGCTTCCTGCGAACACGAAATACGTAACGAAATCACAAAACAAACAAACAAACAAACAAACAAACAAAAACAACTGTTAGGCCCCAGGCTTGCCTTATGCACTCTGTTCCCAAAATCACACAGAAAAACGCCTATGAAAGTAAGTGTGAATGAGCTAAACAGAAGGGTAGAGAAGAATACGACATCATGATCACTCGACATTGCACATCATGGGATAGTGGCACAGCGAATGCGGAATGGAAGAAAACCTGACATAGCATGGGGGGGGGGGATAAGGGCTGCTGACAGGATCCTGAGTGCAGCAATGCCAGCAATGGCTGCTGGGATGGAGCCTGACAGCCAATTGTTAGTCAGATCCCTGATAAGCGCGCATATCAGGAAGGGGAGGGAGGGAGGGAGGGAGGGAGGGAGGGAGGGAGGGAGGGAGGGAGGGAGGGAGGGAGGGAGGGAGGGAGGGAGGGAGAGAGGGAGGGCGGGCGGGAGGGAGGGAGGGAGGGAGGGAGGGAGGGAGGGAGGGAGGGAGGGAGGGAGGGAGGGAGGGAGGGAGGGAGGGCGGGCGGGAGGGAGGGAGGGAGGGAGGGAGGGAGGGAGGGAGGGAGGGAGGGAGGGAGGGAGGGAGGGAGGGAGGGAGGGAGGGAGTGAGGGAGGGAGGGAGGGAGGGAGGGAGGGAGGGAGAGAGGGAGGGAGGGAGGGAGGGAGGGCGGGAGGGCAAAAGGGGGAAATGTCACGCAAGGAAGTTGAGGTGGGGCACATTTGCTCGGCTGTAGTGAGCTGCGGTGAGCTGCGGTGAGCTGCGGTGAGCTCCTAGTGGCTGGGTGGACCATGCAGCAAACGCTGAAGCAATTGAAATGATGGTCATGGACCAAGGCGTTTGCAGTGGCAGTGGCAAGCGATGGGATAGCAAAGGGATGATGGCACAGCATCAGCATGGCGTTACACGGCATGATATTCCCAGCTTACAGTTGTGTAAGGGTTGTGAGGTTCCACAGGGAATGGGGAATGGGGCCCGTTAAGTTCCGCCCAGTCACATTCCTGGTGCAAGGCATGGCATGAGGGGGGGAATGAGGGCACGGCACGAGGGGGAGGGGGCATGGGCGATGGAAAAGAGGGTACGTGGCATGAATGGACGAGTCAACCGTTGGTATGGCAGCGAGGGGCATTGCATGGGTTTGTGCCATGGGGCGAGCAAGCACGCATGGGGCGAGCAAGCACGCATGGGGCGAGCAAGCACGCATGGGGCGAGCAAGCACGCATGGGGACAGCAAGCACGCATGGGGACAGCAAGCACGCATGGGGACAGCAAGCACGCATGGGGACAGCAAGCACGCATGGGGACAGCAAGCACGCATGGGGACAGCAAGCACGCATGGGGCGAGCAAGCACGCATGGGGACAGCAAGCACGCATGGGGACAGCAAGCACGCATGGGGCGAGCAAGCACGCATGGGGACAGCAAGCACGCATGGGGACAGCAAGCACGCATGGGGCGAGCAAGCACGCATGGGGCGAGCAAGCACGCATGGGGACAGCAAGCACGCATGGGGACAGCAAGCACGCATGGGGCGAGCAAGCACGCATGGGGACAGCAAGCACGCATGGGGACAGCAAGCACGCATGGGGACAGCAAGCACGCATGGGGCGAGCAAGCACGCATGGGGACAGCAAGCACGCATGGGGACAGCAAGCACGCATGGGGACAGCAAGCACGCATGGGGACAGCAAGCACGCATGGGGCGAGCAAGCACGCATGGGGCGAGCAAGCACGCATGGGGACAGCAAGCACGCATGGGGACAGCAAGCACGCATGGGGCGAGCAAGCACGCATGGGGACAGCAAGCACGCATGGGGACAGCAAGCACGCATGGGGCGAGCAAGCACGCATGGGGCGAGCAAGCACGCATGGGGACAGCAAGCACGCATGGGGACAGCAAGCACGCATGGGGACAGCAAGCACGCATGGGGACAGTCACCACTTTTCAAGATGCTTGTTCCAGGGCCAATCGAAGATAAAACAAATCTCCCAACAATCTTAAGGGAAGAAGGGGAAGTGGTAGGCAGGTGGGGGAGGGAGGGGAGCGGAAGGGCCAAGTGGGGGCCGTGCTGATTGGGAATGCAGGACGCACATGGAAACAATGAAGCCAGCTGCATTGCAGCGCACGCCATGCACCCCGTCTCGTCTCCCCCCGCTGCCCCCGCCCTCCTATGTGAACCCAGTATAGGCGGCACGCAGCACGCACAGGGAGACGATGAAGCCAGCCGCATTGCAGCGCACGCCCTCCACCTGCGCGCAGTCCCCCCCCTTGCTCCATCCGCGCAGCTGCGACCGCCACTGCCCCTGACACTCCGCCAGCACCGCCGCTGCGGGGACAGCCGTGGAAGGGGAGAGGAGGGCATGTGCGTAGGGATGGGGAAGGATACGGATGGGAAAAGGGGAAACATGCAGAGAGGGGAAGGGCATGCGGATGGGGACTGGGGAAACATGGCGGAGGGGGAACCAGCGCCCGAGGAAGGTCGGAGCAAAAAGCAGGCGTGGGGTAGGTGCGTGTTGGACGGGGGAGAAGGCGGAAAGGGCAAACCCAAACGAACGATGCAGCTGGGAAGGAGAGGGAAAGGGGGCGTGCCGCGAAATATGCCAGGCATTGCGGCTGGCGGGAGGACTAAAGGCAAGAAGCCCGCGTCGGGGAGAGTGACCGGACACTGACAATGACTGGCTAGTCTTCATCTGTCAACTCTAGAAACAGGCGTGGAGCGCTGGACAGTGGCGCGCCGGACAGTGGTGCCACGCGCAGGATAGCGCCGGGCCGACTCGGACGCTCCGAGCCACAGCCTCAGAATGCAGCGGAAAGGAAAGGTGAGCATCGACTAGTAGTACTACGCCCTTGGCTGCGCACAGCTGTGCGCAGCGCAGGTCATTCTAGCGCGACGGACCTTGCGAGGGGTGGAGACCCGTAGCAGCCGCGGCCGTTGGAGAGAACACGCCGAGCGCGAGCCCGGCGACGAGGACGGCGAGGCGATGCCGCTGCGGCGACCCCGCCATGACTTAGCTGCAACGGGAATGTAACGTATTACCCTAACTACCGAGCTAACAACCATCGATCTCTCTCTAAGTCAATTGTTGAGAACTTCTCTCGACAAAGGAAGAGTTGGAGAAGATGGTTGAGTTGGTTGGGATGAAACTTGGTTTGGGTTTGCCAAGCCTCAACTTTGGAGGTTTGGAACATTTCCAACTCAACCAAGAGAATGTTGAAGGTTGGAATTCCAACCAATCAGAAACTGCCAAACAAGTGTTACAATCTACTCTATCCTAACACAACCATTGAATGGTTCTAAGTTGGGTTTTCCAACCCAACACAATTGCCACATAGGCTCCAAGCCTAGGAACCATCCCACCATGGAAACCATGGTTGGGATAGTTCCCCAAGGGGTGTATTAAGGGGGTCTGAGCTAAGCAAGCTCATTCTGAACCTCCCACTCCAACAAAACAATTGGAAATGGGATTGTTTCTCTAAGTCCTTTTGGGCTCTCTCACAAGTCTCCCTACACTACTACTCCAAGTGCTTTTCATCAAAGGCATCAAGAAGATCTTCATCTCCAAGGCTATTAAGGCTAGTTAAAGCTACTATTTTGTATTGGAATATTATAAAAGCCTTGTAACCGCCATTATAATAGCCCTGGGCATTACAGGGAAGCTCGACTCATCCCGGCATTTTCACTCGGAGTTACCACAATGTACCCTAGCGAACACCTGGGAAAATCCGTTCGCGAATTCGGGAGAAATGTCGCAAAACATATCTGGCACATTCGACAAATTACTCGCAGGTCTTCCAATCAAGGAGCAGGGAGGTACAGGGTTACCCTAATTTGACATCACAAGCTCGGGAGGAGCCAACGCCCGTGACGAAAGTCACTGACACCCTCGCGAATCAGACATGGCCTTGGCATGTGGCTGGCAGGTCGTTTCTAAACAGGCATTTCTTCATATAACCAACCACCTAGATCAAGCTTGCTTGTGCGGCATTGCTCTCGTCGCGCGTCGTTCCTTCCTCGATCAGTGGCTCGGTCGCCTCACTCGCGTCGCGCATCGTTCCTTCCCCCGTGTCCGTCCACTCTCTCTCCCCTCGCCTTCTACCTGTTCGCACGTCATTCGCGACGCCGTAGCGAGATGGTGGCATGTTACAGCGTGGTAACATGACGCGTTGCAAGCATCTAGATCGAGTCCTGAGGAGATGGGGTAAGTACTTGTGAGGCGATCCGACGGTCTAGATTGTAGAAGGAGGCGGATGGCCAATGGGGACTCGTATGTAGCGTCGCAGGCTGGATCGCGCCTCGTCATTGCGCCGCACGGCCGACGCTACGAGATCTCAACCGCTGACGTGTGCGCGACGACGGTACGACCGCAGCGCGACGACGGTGCGACGGTAGTGTGACGACGGTACGAGTGCGACGACGGCGGTGCGACGGCAGCGCAACGACGGTGCGACGGTAGTGCGACGACGGTGCGACGGTAGTACGACGACGGGGCGACAGTAGTACGACGACGGTAGTGCCACGTGGGCTGCACTGACGGGAGTCACCGAAATCCCAAGCCGTCCTACCCAGTGCATTCTCCCCTACCCTCGCTCCATGCTCCACCGCTCTCTACCGCACTCTAATTGCTCTCTTCCTCTCCATCATCCCCGCTGCTCTCCAGACAGCCACGAGCGCCCGCTCTCCCGCCGCACCTGCCACGCTCGCAGCCACAGCCCAAGAGGATACAGTCACTCTGGTTGCAGTCACAATCACAATCAGCATCGCTGTGACCAACGTCTGCTGCTCGGAGTGCTCCTTCTCGCGTTCCTCTCCTTGCGGCATGCCGTGGCTCGAGGTGTGTGTGACTGTAGCACGATTGGTGTGTGACTGTAACGCAGTCACTGTAGCGCGATGTGCATCTTGGTGTGTGGATCACTGTGTCCTGCATCACCATGATCACTCACTCTGCCGCCCATCTCTGATCCTGTTGTCCACATCCCCTCTATGCGTCCCATCCCATCCCATCCCATCCCATCCCATCCCATCCCATCCCATCCCATCCCATCCCATCCCATCCCATCCCATCCCTGCTCCTCCTCGTGCCTGCCATCCTATTGCCCGCCTGTGCCACATGCAGAGGAGGGTCTGCAGGGACAGGAGGCTCAGGAGGAGGGCAAGGGGCGGCAGGAGGCCCTGTTGGGTCGCGTGCAGCAGTTCGAGCGATCGCTCGCCGATCAGCTGTCAGCTCTCTCTCTCTCGCCACGCATCCCTCTCGCTTCTGTCTTTATCTCTCCCGTACCCCTCCTCTTCCCTTTCTATTCCCTGCGAACCTCTTCTTTCCTCCTCCAACCCTACCTCTGCTCCCCCCGCCCTTATTCCTTCCGTTCTTCTGGGAGTGTTACACATGTGCGTGTATCTGCCTCCCATCTCTGTTCCCTGGCCGGTTTGCCAGTGTCTTTGTTATTGTCTCGCACCAGAAGCTACTGCTAACCTGTCTCATTTGCTCTGCTCCTTGCCCCTTCATTGTCGCATCCTTCCATCCCTCCGTCCTACCCTATAATATGGGTGAGGAAGCAGAGTCAGGCTCATACATGCCCCAAATCCTCTACCCGCCCTTCTTTTCTGCTCCCCTCGCCTGCCCTGCCCTCCCCTCCCCTGCCCTCCTATTCCCTCTCCCCTGCCCTCCCTTCCCTCCCCTGCCCTCCCTTCCCTCCCTTCCCCTACCCTTCCCTCCCCTTCCCTCTCCTTCCCTGTCCCCCTCTCTCCTACCCTGCCCTGCCCTCTCATTCCCTCCCATCCCCTCCCCTCCCCTGCCTTGCCTCCCTTGCCATCCCCGCCCCATCCCTCCCCCCCAGCCACATGGAGCGGCGGGACTTACTAAGAAAATCAGCAGCGCCATTCAACCGCACCCTGCACACATCCGCCCTGCCCTCCATAATGCTCGACTACTACGAGCTTCAACCCCACCTCGGCCCGCGCCTGCGGTGCCGCGGCCCGCCCTGCCCCAAGTTCGGCCACTGCGGATCATCCTTCCCCCACATACAAGCCTGCTGGAACGACCATCTCACGGACCCGCGCCCACTCTTCCCCGCAGACCCGCTAAACTGCCCGCGGCTTCAGCCCGTGGAGGATGTGGGGCGGCTGCGGCGGCCGTGGTACTTCATCGATAAGCAGTGCTCGCACCGCGTGGATGTGAATGCGAGGGATGCTACTGCCATGCAGGTGTGTTCAAGATAAAAATGTGTAGCGTTCGGGGGATTCTTTTGTCGACTCAAAAACCGCTGTTGTTCTTTTGCTTGAGCATAAACTACACGATGGCTGCTCTTTGAGAATCGTGCATGTGCATGATGCCACGGCCACGCAGGTGTTCAAGATGAAGGATGTGTACTCGGCGTTTGGGGGATACGTGTTTAACTTGACGCATCGCTTCAACCGCAACGGCTGCACTCGCTTCCTCAAGGTGCTGCTCGCTTCCTCAAGGTGCCGTGCTGCGCTGTGTTGTGTGCATGCTTGCCTTGCCTTCTTGCTTGCTTGATTGTTCCGTGCCGGCTGTACCATCATTCGTGCACCTCTAGTGTTCCATGTGCTCCCAAGAAGTGCCCACCAGCCAGGCAACTCGACCTCCTTTGACCCCCTCTCACTCCATCCCTCCCTCAATTTCCCCCGCCCCACACCTCGACGTTGCTTCTCCCACTTTTTGCGCTTTGCAATGCTACCTTCGCCCCACGCCTCACCATGCGTGCGGCACGAACAAGGTCGCAAACAGACCTTCACAGCAACCTTCCCTCCTCTCCTCTTGACACCTCTATCTTCTTCCCCTCCTGACTCGCCCTCCCAGACCTCCTTCACCACCCCAGCCTGCACGCCACTCAAAGGACATGCTCCACTGCCTTCACTGCATCCCCCCCTGTGTTCCTCCCAGGCGTGTACTCATGAGGGGGGGGTGGTTCACTGGGTCTACTGGCAGGCCGGCAGCCACCCTTCTCGTCTCCGCAGCGTTTCCGTGCGTTCCTACATTGCTGATGCAGGGACGCAGGGTGCGTTCCTACATGCAGCGTCCCTTAATCCCCACGCCCCTGTGTCTACCCCACCTCAGGCAACATGACAGTACCATCTGCTGGAAGTGTTCAACTGGGACTACCGCCAGGCAGGCAACTTCGACCCCTTCATCATCGAACCCATACCGATGCTCTACATCCCTATGTGCTTTGCTCCCCACATGCGACACTCACCCCCAACATGACGGACGGTGTACCATTTAAAAGAGGTGTTCAACTGGGACTACCGCCAGGCGGGCAACTTGTACCACTTTATCATCGAGGCCGTGCCGCTGCCGTACATCTCTATGTTCCTTTGCTCACACCACCCCCTCCACAGGCAACGCTGACCCCCAAAATTACGGTGTATCATCTTCCCTCAGTGTTCAACTTGGACTACCGCCAGGCGGGCAACTTCCCCTCCCATCTTCATGCTGCATCTCCCTGCCCCACATCACATCCCTATGTCCCCTCACTTCCCCAGGCGACGCTCACCCCCAACATGACAGTATACCATTTGAAATCGATGTTCAATTGGGACTACCGCCAGGCGGGCAACTTCTACCATTTCATCATCGAGGCCGTCCCGCTGCTCTATGCCGCTGCCCGCCTGCTGCCCTCGCTGCTGCCTGACATCCCTATTGCTGCCAAGAGCGACCAGGTAATAACGCACGCCCATTTCCCTGGCTTCCAGTTCTCCCTCCTCGCTGCTCTATGCCGCCGCCCGCCTGCTGCCCCCTCTGCTGCCTGGCATCCCCATTGCCGCCAAGAGCGACCAGGTACCCTTTTCAGTGCCGTCTTATTCTCTCGCCTGACTGCTCTGCTGTCCGTCCAGCTGTTCCACACCGCTGCCCGCCTCCTCCTGCCCTCGCTGCTGCCCGACATCCCTATTTCCTGCCTAGCGCTGTAATTCCCTCCCGCACCCACCCTCCACTTACGTAAGTCCCGCCCAATTCGATACCCATGCAACTACCCAACCCTTCGCTTCAGCAGACGTCATCCACCTTCTCACCCCTCGTTCTCCCCGCTTTCCCCAACAGTCACCTGACCCTTCGCCTCCCATCCTCGACACTCACCCAGCTCGCTATGTACAATATGTACACTTTGTACAACCCCCATCCTCTTCCCACTACCCCCTTCACATTCACGCAAATGTGACAGCTGTCGGAAACTCACCCACCTCCCCCATGCTCTCGTGTGCCTCTCTCTCACACTCCCCCTGTTCACACTCTTGTGGTCCCTTCTCACTTCTCCTGCCCTTCATCTCTTTCTCTGCTCATCCTGCTTTCACTCCTGACTCTTCCTTCTCCTGTCACTTCCTTCCCAGTTAACTCTCACAGATGTTCTCCCCTTCCTTCTCTTGATTCCTTTCCCCTGCTACTTGTCTCTGTGATGAGCTCCCTCTTGCCCCATCCCATGACCTATTGCTGCCGTCCTCGCCCTGGTCATGGGACCCTTGTATGCCTGGGACCTCTAGGCCTTGCCGGCAACTGCCACGTTTGTCACATGGTCTATGACCTGTTTCCCACTCTCGTCCTCCGGCACCAACACCCCCGACTCTCGCACCTCCTTGACGGTCCACCTCTGCTGAGACACTCCCAAATCTAGTCCATCCCGCTTTGCCCTCCTCGCGTACACATCCTGTCCCGCCTCCACGTGTTGCTCCTTGTTCTGCATCTTCCCCAGTTGCTGCTGGCGGTAGCGATGAATATCCCGCAGCTGCGCCACCTTCAGGCTCTCCATTGCAGCCGGCAGCATCTTCTTGAGATGCGCTGCTCTCGCGTCTGCCAGCGCCACCCACTTCTCCGCGGTCCCTGCCGCCACGCTGTCAGTCAGCAACCGTGGCGCTCCTACCGGCAATATCGGCTGCTTCCTGAATAGCAGATAGTAGGGTGACACGTCCTTCAGGGCTGCCTGCTTGCTGAACCTATACCCAGCCATTACCCACGCCAGCTTCTTGTCCCAGTCCCCCTTGTGTGCCTCGCCGTACACTAGGGATGAGCAATATGACGAACACCTGTTCGGTTCGCCTCGAACGTGTTCGAGGCGAACCGAACAGGATTTTTTTTTTTGCCTAAATTGTTCGGAGCGAACGTGTTCGGTGTTCGCCCGAACACGTTCGCCGTTCGCCCGGCTCAGCTGGCCGAGGCGCGTCGAACACGAACGTGTTCGTGTTCGACACGGGCCTTCGACGAACACATTGGTGTTCGTCGACGAATAGGCCCGCGACCAATTTTTAGGTCGCGGGCCTTGGTGTTTGGGCTCAGATCAAGGCATTTCGCCGCTGCTTAAGTGCGGATCAAGGCATTTCGCCGTTGCTTAAGTGCGGATCAAGGCATTTCGCCGTTGCTTAAGTATAGATCTAGCATTTCGCCGTTGCTTAAGTGCGGATCAAGCATTTCGCCGTTGCTTAAGCTCAGATCTAGCATTTCGCCGTTGCTTAAGTGCGGATCAAGGCATTTCGCCGTTGCTTAAGTATAGATCTAGCATTTCGCCGTTGCTTAAGTGCGGATCAAGCATTTCGCCGTTGCTTAAGCGTAGATCTAGCATTTCGCCGTTGCTTAAGTGCAGATCTAGCCTTTCGCCGTCACACGCTGGCACTAGTATGGATGAAGCAGGGCGGGACTGGCTTGGGGGGTGGGGGGAGGGAATGTGAAACATTTGGATTTCACTCTACTTGGATCTAAGAAGGTCCTTTAAGGCGAACGCGAACATGTTCTGGGCGAACGTGTTCGTGTTCGCCAAAACGTTCGAAATGTTCGCCTCTCTTGGCGAACTTCGAACACCCTTTCTGGTGTAAAGTGTTCGGCGAACCGAACAGTGTTCGGTTCGCCGAACGGCCATGTTCGAGCCCAGGCGAACACGAACATGTTCGTGTTCGCCATTTGCTCATCCCTACCGTACACTCGCCGACCCTTTTTCACTGTCTGCACCAACCTTTCCGTCAAGCCATCGGCTTGTGGGTGGTAGCGAGAGGTGGTGCGATGCTGGATGCGATTGGACGCCAGCAGCTCGTCAAGCTCTCCTTGAAACTCTCCTTGAAACTCTCCTTGAAACTCGGTCCCCTGGTCTGTCAGCACCTCTCCACATGCCCCAAACCTCGTTAGCACCATCTCCTCAAAGGCCTCCGCCACTGCTGCCGCCATCTTGTTCACCAACGGTCGAGCTTCCGCCCACTTGCTCACGCGCTCAATCATGAGCAGGATGTACCGCCTTCCTCTCCTTGACACTGGCAGTTCCCCTGCTATATCTAACGACCATCGGTATCCAAGCTCCACTATGGCCAGCGTCTGGAGCTCTGCCTGACTCTTCAGCAGTGTCGCTTTGTTCCTGCAACAGAGCTCACATTTCTCCACCCATTCCTTCACCTCTTTCCTCATCCTGGCCCACCACCAGCCTGTCTGCAGTAACTGTTGCGTGCGCAGCGGTCCGAAGTGCCCCAACTTTCGAGACGTCTCAAAACTGCACCTCCTTGATTATCGCCTCTCGATCCGCCGGCTCCGGCACTCTCTTCCAGCCATCCTTGGTTCGCAGCTGCACCTGTTCCTGAAACCATCTGTAGTGCTGTCCCCTTGCCCTGGCCCTGGGCCCTGCTTCCCCATCTTCTGCTGTCTCCCCCTTTATCCATGCGAGTGTTTCCGCGTCTTGCCATACATCAGCTGCTCCTCGCTTCTGCTCCCCTCCTGCCCCCTGCTCTTTGACCATGGTGGTCAATGCTGCTGCCGGTGGTTCAGGCTCTGGGCCGCGCCCCTTTTCTTCCTTTGGTGGGTTCCTTGATAGCCCATCGACGTGCTGTATCGTCTTGCCTGGGCGATTTTTCACTGTAAAATCGTACTCTTGCAGTTTCGTCGCCCATCTGGCGTTCCGCCCTGTCAGCGTCTGGTTCTGCATGAGCCACAGCAAGGGCTGATGGTCAGTCACTAGCGTGAAGTGTCTCCCCTGTAGATAGACCGAAAGTGTCCCACTGCCCACACCCTCGTCTGAGCCCGTGGCTCCACTCAGCTTCCCGGTCGCACCTCCTTTCGCGCCGTGCGCGTCCGTCTCCGTCCCAACCTCGCGCTCGTTCTTCCCATCGCCTTCCATCACCTCCGTCCCCCCTAGCCGATCCTTCGCGGCGAAGTCTAGTCCCGATCTTGTGGGCATGCCCCACTCGAACCTGATTGGTTGTATGTGATGAGCTCTGAGCTCCCTCACATAGCTATATCACCCTGCTTCTCCTACCACATGATGGCTTGCCTTATCTCCTTAGGTTCAATACTTGCTCAGTATGCCGCAAGAAATTCGTGTTGAAAGGAAACATACAAGCAATGAGGTTAGCTTCAACAAGGATCCGCCTATACTACCAGCTCTGCCACCTCCTCTCTAGTCCCATCATCCCCTAGTCTGTTCGCTAGCAGCTATCGCTACCTTCGAGCAGACTTGCATCCATGCTGCTCTACACCACTCTTCCCCGCCTCTAGCTACTTTGCCTCCAGCTGACACTGCACTGATCCAGCTGGCTCCTTGGAGCATGCATGCACACACACGAAAGCAAACACACATGCACACACACGAAAGCAAACGCACGTGCACACACACGAAAGCAAACACACATGCACACACACGAAAGCAAACACACATGCACACACACGAAAGCAAACACACATGCACACACACGAAAGCAAACACACATGCACACGAACACCCATCCAAGCACTGGTGGTAACCTCCCTTCCCCTTGCCGCTGCCTTGCACTGTAATTCCCTCCCGCACCCACTCTCCGCTTATGTAAGTCCCGCCCAGTTCGATACCCATGCAACTACCCAACCCTTCGCTTCAGCAGACGTCATCCACCTTCTCACCCCTCGTTCTCCCCGCTTTCCCCAACAGTCACCTGACCCTTCGCCTCCCATCCTCGATACTCACCCAGCTCGCTATGTACAATATGTACACTTTGTACAACCCCCATGCTCTTCCCACTACCCCCTTCACATTCACGCAAATGTGACACTCTGCTGTCCGTCCAGCTGTTCCACACCGCTGCCCGCCTCCTCCTGCCCTCACTGCTGCCCGACATCCCTATGGCCGCCAAGAGCGACCAGGTAATAACGCACGCCCTTTTCTCCGCCTTCTTCTTCTCTGTCGTCCCTGCTCCGTCTGTGCCGCTGCTCTGCTCCGTCGATGTCCGCCTGCTGCCCTCGCTGCTGCCCGACATCCCCATTGCCGCCAAGAGCGACCAGGTACCCTTTTCACTGCTTTCTTATTCTCACCTGACTGCTCTGCTCTGTCCGTCCAGCTGATCCACACGGTTGCCCACCTCGTGCCCTCCCTGTCCGACATGCCCATCGCTGCCAAGAGCGACCAGGTAATAACACACGCCCCTGAGTGCTGACCAGGTAACTCACGCCCTTTTCCTGGCTTCCATTTCTCTCTCCCAGCTGCTCTGCTCCACCGCCCGTCTCATGCCCTCGCTGCTTAAGAACCCCATTGCTGCCAAGGCCGATCAGGTAAGCACACCCTTTGAGGCTGCCCACTCGTCCCCCTGGCTCTATCTTTCTCTCTCCTGGCGGCTCCATCTTGATTAGGTGCTACCTGACATCAAATCGCTGCGACGGCGGACCAGATAGACCTCGATTGACTTTTGTATTCTTACTTCAAGTTATAAAACAACGTTTCCTGCGCTGCTCCTCTGCCCTGCACGTGGCTTCCACCCTCTTAACCTCTTCTCCTCCCCTCCCCTTCTCCTCCGGGCCCATCTTCTCCCTCTTTTTCCCTTCCCAATGGAAGGTGCACAAAATGATCAAGCCACCCATAATAGGTGCCACAAGCCGAATTATCTGCCTCTTTCCACCTCATGGCCTCGTCCATCCCACTGCTATGCGCCCATTGCATTGCTCCCTCTCCCCTCCCTGTCCACTCCCCTTCACCCCTTCTCCCAGTGGGAGGTGTATCACAATATTGGGCTGTCCATAGTGGGCGTGCTGTAAATGGACGCTGCCTTATGCCATTGCCCCCCCTTATGCCATTGCCCCCCCTTATGCCATTGCCCCCCCTCCTCCACTTCCCCCCTCCCCATCACCCCTTCTCGCAGTGGGAGGTGTACGACCAGATAGGGCTGCCCATAGTGGGCGTGCCTCGTGAAGACATGTGGACCATCCGAGTGCGTGCATGGGAGATCGTACATGCCCACACCATGTACCAGGTGATAGTCATGATGCCATGTGATGCCATGTACCAGGTGATAGTCATGATGCCATGTGATGCCATGTACCAGGTGATAGTCATGATGCCATGTGATGCCATGTACCAGGTGATAGTCATGATGCCATGTGATGCCATGTACCAGGTGATAGTCATGATGCCATGTGATGCCATGTACCAGGTGATAGTCATGATGCCATGTGATGCCATGTACCAGGTGATAGTCATGATGCCATGTGATGCCATGTACCAGGTGATAGTCATGATGCCATGTGATGCCATGTACCAGGTGATAGTCATGATGCCATGTGATGCCATGTACCAGGTGATAGTCATGATGCCATGTGATGCCATGTACCAGGTGATAGTCATGATGCCATGTGATGCCATGTACCAGGTGATAGTCATGATGCCATGTGATGCCATGTACCAGGTGATAGTCATGATGCCATGTGATGCCATGTACCAGGTGATAGTCATGATGCCATGTGATGCCATGTACCAGGTGATAGTCATGATGCCATGTGATGCCATGTACCAGGTGATAGTCATGATGCCATGTGATGCCATGTACCAGGTGATAGTCATGATGCCATGTGATGCCATGTACCAGGTGATAGTCATGATGCCATGTGATGCCATGTACCAGGTGATAGTCATGATGCCATGTGATGCCATGTACCAGGTGATAGTCATGATGCCATGTGATGCCATGTACCAGGTGATAGTCATGATGCCATGTGATGCCATGTACCAGGTGATAGTCATGATGCCATGTGATGCCATGTACCAGGTGATAGTCATGATGCCATGTGATGCCATGTACCAGGTGATAGTCATGATGCCATGTGATGCCATGTACCAGGTGATAGTCATGATGCCATGTGATGCCATGTACCAGGTGATAGTCATGATGCCATGTGATGCCATGTACCAGGTGATAGTCATGATGCCATGTGATGCCATGTACCAGGTGATAGTCATGATGCCATGTGATGCCATGTACCAGGTGATAGTCATGATGCCATGTGATGCCATGTACCAGGTGATAGTCATGATGCCATGTGATGCCATGTACCAGGTGATAGTCATGATGCCATGTGATGCCATGTACCAGGTGATAGTCATGATGCCATGTGATGCCATGTACCAGGTGATAGTCATGATGCCATGTGATGCCATGTACCAGGTGATAGTCATGATGCCATGTGATGCCATGTACCAGGTGATAGTCATGATGCCATGTGATGCCATGTACCAGGTGATAGTCATGATGCCATGTGATGCCATGTACCAGGTGATAGTCATGATGCCATGTGATGCCATGTACCAGGTGATAGTCATGATGCCATGTGATGCCATGTACCAGGTGATAGTCATGATGCCATGTGATGCCATGTACCAGGTGATAGTCATGATGCCATGTGATGCCATGTACCAGGTGATAGTCATGATGCCATGTGATGCCATGTACCAGGTGATAGTCATGATGCCATGTGATGCCATGTACCAGGTGATAGTCATGATGCCATGTGATGCCATGTACCAGGTGATAGTCATGATGCCATGTGATGCCATGTACCAGGTGATAGTCATGATGCCATGTGATGCCATGTACCAGGTGATAGTCATGATGCCATGTGATGCCATGTACCAGGTGATAGTCATGATGCCATGTGATGCCATGTACCAGGTGATAGTCATGATGCCATGTGATGCCATGTACCAGGTGATAGTCATGATGCCATGTGATGCCATGTACCAGGTGATAGTCATGATGCCATGTGATGCCATGTACCAGGTGATAGTCATGATGCCATGTGATGCCATGTACCAGGTGATAGTCATGATGCCATGTGATGCCATGTACCAGGTGATAGTCATGATGCCATGTGATGCCATGTACCAGGTGATAGTCATGATGCCATGTGATGCCATGTACCAGGTGATAGTCATGATGCCATGTGATGCCATGTACCAGGTGATAGTCATGATGCCATGTGATGCCATGTACCAGGTGATAGTCATGATGCCATGTGATGCCATGTACCAGGTGATAGTCATGATGCCATGTGATGCCATGTACCAGGTGATAGTCATGATGCCATGTGATGCCATGTACCAGGTGATAGTCATGATGCCATGTGATGCCATGTACCAGGTGATAGTCATGATGCCATGTGATGCCATGTACCAGGTGATAGTCATGATGCCATGTGATGCCATGTACCAGGTGATAGTCATGATGCCATGTGATGCCATGTACCAGGTGATAGTCATGATGCCATGTGATGCCATGTACCAGGTGATAGTCATGATGCCATGTGATGCCATGTACCAGGTGATAGTCATGATGCCATGTGATGCCATGTACCAGGTGATAGTCATGATGCCAGGTGATAGTCATGTACCAGGTGATAGTCATGATGCCATGTGATGCCATGTACCAGGTGATAGTCATGATGCCATGTGATGCCATGTACCAGGTGATAGTCATGATGCCAGGTGATAGTCATGATGCCATGTGATGCCATGTACCAGGTGATAGTCATGATGCCATGTGATGCCATGTACCAGGTGATAGTCATGATGCCATGTGATGCCATGTACCAGGTGATAGTCATGATGCCATGTGATGCCATGTACCAGGTGATAGTCATGATGCCATGTGATGCCATGTACCAGGTGATAGTCATGATGCCAGGTGATAGTCATGATGCCATGTGATGCCATGTACCAGGTGATAGTCATGATGCCATGTGATGCCATGTACCAGGTGATAGTCATGATGCCATGTGATGCCATGTACCAGGTGATAGTCATGATGCCATGTGATGCCATGTACCAGGTGATAGTCATGATGCCATGTGATGCCATGTACCAGGTGATAGTCATGATGCCATGTGATGCCATGTACCAGGTGATAGTCATGATGCCATGTGATGCCATGTACCAGGTGATAGTCATGATGCCATGTGATGCCATGTACCAGGTGATAGTCATGATGCCATGTGATGCCATGTACCAGGTGATAGTCATGATGCCATGTGATGCCATGTACCAGGTGATAGTCATGATGCCATGTGATGCCATGTACCAGGTGATAGTCATGATGCCATGTGATGCCATGTACCAGGTGATAGTCATGATGCCATGTGATGCCATGTACCAGGTGATAGTCATGATGCCATGTGATGCCATGTACCAGGTGATAGTCATGATGCCATGTGATGCCATGTACCAGGTGATAGTCATGATGCCATGTGATGCCATGTACCAGGTGATAGTCATGATGCCATGTGATGCCATGTACCAGGTGATAGTCATGATGCCATGTGATGCCATGTACCAGGTGATAGTCATGATGCCATGTGATGCCATGTACCAGGTGATAGTCATGATGCCATGTGATGCCATGTACCAGGTGATAGTCATGATGCCATGTGATGCCATGTACCAGGTGATAGTCATGATGCCATGTGATGCCATGTACCAGGTGATAGTCATGATGCCATGTGATGCCATGTACCAGGTGATAGTCATGATGCCATGTGATGCCATGTACCAGGTGATAGTCATGATGCCATGTGATGCCATGTACCAGGTGATAGTCATGATGCCATGTGATGCCATGTACCAGGTGATAGTCATGATGCCATGTGATGCCATGTACCAGGTGATAGTCATGATGCCATGTGATGCCATGTACCAGGTGATAGTCATGATGCCATGTGATGCCATGTACCAGGTGATAGTCATGATGCCATGTGATGCCATGTACCAGGTGATAGTCATGATGCCATGTGATGCCATGTACCAGGTGATAGTCATGATGCCATGTGATGCCATGTACCAGGTGATAGTCATGATGCCATGTGATGCCATGTACCAGGTGATAGTCATGATGCCATGTGATGCCATGTACCAGGTGATAGTCATGATGCCATGTGATGCCATGTACCAGGTGATAGTCATGATGCCATGTGATGCCATGTACCAGGTGATAGTCATGATGCCATGTGATGCCATGTACCAGGTGATAGTCATGATGCCATGTGATGCCATGTACCAGGTGATAGTCATGATGCCATGTGATGCCATGTACCAGGTGATAGTCATGATGCCATGTCATGATGCCATGTGATGCCATGTACCAGGTGATAGTCATGATGCCATGTGATGCCATGTACCAGGTGATAGTCATGATGCCATGTCATGATGCCATGTGATGCCATGTACCAGGTGATAGTCATGATGCCATGTGATGCCATGTACCAGGTGATAGTCATGATGCCATGTCATGATGCCATGTGATGCCATGTACCAGGTGATAGTCATGATGCCATGTGATGCCATGTACCAGGTGATAGTCATGATGCCATGTCATGATGCCATGTGATGCCATGTACCAGGTGATAGTCATGATGCCATGTGATGCCATGTACCAGGTGATAGTCATGATGCCATGTCATGATGCCATGTGATGCCATGTACCAGGTGATAGTCATGATGCCATGTCATGATGCCATGTGATGCCATGTACCAGGTGATAGTCATGATGCCATGTCATGATGCCATGTGATGCCATGTACCAGGTGATAGTCATGGTGCCATGTCATGATGCCATGTGATGCCATGTACCAGGTGATAGTCATGATGCCATGTCATGATGCCATGTGATGCCATGTACCAGGTGATAGTCATGATGCCATGTCATGATGCCATGTGATGCCATGTACCAGGTGATAGTCATGATGCCATGTCATGATGCCATGTGATGCCATGTACCAGGTGATAGTCATGATGCCATGTCATGATGCCATGTGATGCCATGTACCAGGTGATAGTCATGATGCCATGTCATGATGCCATGTGATGCCATGTACCAGGTGATAGTCATGATGCCATGTCATGATGCCATGTGATGCCATGTACCAGGTGATAGTCATGATGCCATGTCATGATGCCATGTGATGCCATGTACCAGGTGATAGTCATGAT